CAAACAGTACCTGCTGTCTTCTGCAGCCAAAGTACTGAAACTTGCAGGTACAAGAGACTCAGCTGCTTCAGTAGAGGACAACCCAAAATACGTGTGCCAGTGAGCAAATGCCTCATCACCTTCACCAGCTGCTATGGTAACTTCTCCCACCACCACAATGACTTTTCTTAATAACCCAATCAAGTTCTTGTGCACTGCCAGTTTGATAGGATAGCAGATCAGATTTCTTTGGCATGTACCCTTAGTATTTCATATAACCTGTATAGATCTACAGGTGTCTCTGGATATAAATTTGCACAATTCTTTGTTTACTAGCAGGGTAACAAAGCTTGTTACAATTCTAAAAAAATCAATAGACATGATTTGTTTTCAACACACCCAGGCACTTGGCACAAATATATTTAACCATAGCTGTGCAGGCCCATCTACATGGTTAAAGGTAGTTGCTCAAAAGGAATGACTGAAATACTTGCTGCTTGTATGGAATTAGTAATGAAAACTATGTTTTGCGAAATGAGTATGAAGATGTAATGAGTCCATTGTAAATGGCTCAGTCTCTATAGCCTCACTGACAACAATATTGTTCTTAGTTCTTCTGTATTTCTTTCTTTCTTCCTGTATCTCCATCCCCAGGAACAAATATTCATAGCCTCCCAAGCCTATGCTTCAGATAACTCCTATAAATTCACTTTCCTGCAATGACAATAAGCAAGTAAATGAGTCATAGTACCAACAATACCCTACATCCTTTGTGTTTTCCTAAGAATTTCCCAGTGGGACAAGATATTTAACATCCTTTTCACACTTGAACCAAATTGCTTTTCCGAAAAATCTCTGTACATTTGGTCATGGGTTATGCCAGCCTCTTGGTAGAACAATGAGGCTTTTTAAAAAAGCTGATAATAACCTGTCCTGAACACCTGGCCAGGGTCCAGGAAGACATTAGTAGGGGTCCCAGCGTGGACTAACAGGAGCTCAACCAAATAAACACAACAGCTAGGCACAAAACACAGGGGTCCATGTTGATTGCAGTCACTTTCAGAATAAGGAAAATAAGACATATTCCTAACATAGAACATAGGCAAAGGAAATTTTGTTTTTCCTGAAGAAAACCTGGACAACATAACTATGGGTCTAGACCAGTATTTCTAGGCATTCAGGGTTTCATGACTGCTTTAGTTTGATGGAAAGAGGGACGATAACTTCAATACTGAATAATTTTATAAGCAGAATGTTTTGATACTCCTCTTAGAGCTATGCAATAGTAGGAAGGCCACCATATAAAAGCCACAATTATTCACATCCTATTACACACATACAGAGAGTATTATGGCAACAACATGGGTAGCTCCTCTTTTTGTAATAAGAGGCTTGAGATTTATATGCAAAATACAGTTAGAAATACTCTTAAGAGAAATAAACTTTTACAAAGAACTGTTGCAAAACATTTTTCCTCTCAATCTTCTCTGAAATATACTACATAACCAATTATTCAAATTTATCTATCTAGAGATTTTGAGTTCCACAATTTAATAATTTGAACTTTTAGAAACACTTAAAATAAGACTTGTGTGTGAGGGACTGCTTTCCACAATACAGATAAGCAGGACTGAAACTCACTAATGTTCTGTTAATAAGGTCTAAGAATTTTAGACCTAAACTTTTGACTGGGGCTAATATTTGGTTTAAATATACTGGGTGTCTGCATTAAATAGGAAAGCAAGATGAGACAAGGCCAATCCTCCTACTGCCATGTATATGCCAAAACATCCACAAGTTGTCATGCGTCTCACACAGCAAGTATGATTCACTTGGTACCTATGAAGTATTAGGTATCCAAGACATCAGACTCTAGAATCGTTAAGGAACATTTCCTTCCAGTGAATTTATTTTAAAACTACTGCTATTTTTTTTTGACACTAAACAAGATTAGATTGACCCAAATCATTTGAATTCTTGATTCAGCCTGAGTCATGTTATGTTGTGCAATATTCCGTTACATCCCATCTGGCACGATTTAACACTGCATGGTGCAGCTGAGAGAAATCAATTAAATGTATACTTCAGATAAATGCTATCACTTAAATTAGTTTATAAAGGCAGGCCAACAGGTAAACAGACAATGTAGCTTGGCAGGAAAATTAAATGAGTTATAACATACTTCCTCTACTTCCCAAATATTCTTTGCTTCCTACCTAAGTAACTGGCAATCTGACAAAAAACTTACCAGGCACTGAAAAGTTCTGTACCAGCACCTCGTGGAATGTGCTCTGAAGCACCTTCTACTTATGAAGTCTAGATGAGTTCATAGTGTGTAACAAACGTATGATGAATAAAGCAGAATATCAATCAACAGTAATCCAAAAAATGAAAAACCTGCTTCAATCTGTTGTAATTTCTGGAACTGTCTCATTTCTGCTCACGAAAAACTGTAAATATACATCGCTAACAAAATCATGATCAACATACCCATTTAGCAGATATCAAGGGGAGTCACATCTCATCTCTGGGTGTTCTTTTTATTAACTTTTTTTTCTTTTCTTAAAGTCTCCAGAAGTTGTTGCAAGTCCTTCGACTCAATACCACTCAGGGGTATGTAAAACACATTAAGAAAAGGAACGCCTTTAAAAACTGCTAGGAATATATATGTGTGAGTTTTAAATGCCACAAGATCGATGCACATGAGAACTACATTTATAAGCAAAGCCCAACACACCTCTTGCAGATGTGAAGCTGTATGAACAAAAGAAATTCCCAGTGTGAATTTTATATTAAACACCAACAATTTGGAAGAAATCCCATAAATCAAAAATATATGGCCTCCACAGTTTTAGTTGTACCAGGTGCAAAAATCATAAAACTTTAAAATGAATTCCATAATCTTGTGCAACATGGTAGAGAAAGACCCTCTCCTGCCTGCTGCATTTTACTGGAAGTACTTATACTGCCTTGCTCATGATGTGGTCAGGTGCCAAATTCTAGTTTTTTTGGCTTTTCTGATGTTTAGAACTTTGTTCATAAAAGCTTTTTCCACAGCCCATGTTTTCTCAGCCCTCACTACGCTATCAGCATGATCCCCTGCTCACCACAACTATGGCACCTATACTCCCTTTAGAATGCAAATAGGAAGATTCACATTTTCTCATTATTTTTAACTAGCAATACCTATTTTTCAGGGAATCATTCCCTCTTCTTTGAACCTCCCTGATGAAGTCAGCCTCTGCAATGTTGTCTAGTCCTCCCACTAGTGGTCCTAAAAACATACTCAGGCAGTTACCACTTCTTTCTTCAGAAGCTGAGAAATGCCCCTCCAGTGTGTCAAGAATAAACATGTCAATATTTGATAGCTACGGGGAGATAACTGGGAAGAAGGTTGATGTTAGTTTGTCTAAATATTAAACTATAGGAGAATAAAGACAAGTGAATAAACTATAAACATTTGCAATATTGAAACAATTTTAGGAACAAATTTGATAAAAGCTATTACATCATGGAATCCAGTTCTCTGCTGTTACAGAAAAGCTTGTGGTAGAATAATAACAACAACCTGTGAAGCTCTTTTGAGCCCATTACTGTTGCTGGACCTTCTTCTGCAGCATATTTCATGTTGCTTAACTGATTTGTTTGCAAGCTCCTTGCTTCAGACAGTCATTTGACACCATTGGAACTAGATTTTTGGACTTCTTCCTCTAGCTCTCCTTAGCTGGGGAAATTAATGTATATTCTTTTTCACAGACCAAAGACACCAGAATTATATTCCTAACGGTGGGCAGGCTGTCAAGGCTACAATACAACTATATCATAGAATTGTCAGCTAAACCATGTCCTTAAGCCTAATATCAATGTAATTTTTAAACACATGCTGATTCAACCACTTCCCTGGGCAGACCTTTCCAGTGCTTAAGAACCTATAAAGAAGTTTTTCCTAACATGCAACTTAGACCTCCACTGGCATAACTTGAAGCCATTTCCTTCTTGTCTTATAGCTAGTTATGAGTGAGAAGAGACTAAACCCAGCCCCTCTCTAAAACGTCCTTTCAGGTAGTTGTAAAGTGCAAATATACTACTTTGAATATTTTTCATTTATCAAAAGATACAGTATGAACTATATGTACATATAAAATACTTGACAAAATTATTTCAGACATTTTTTAAAATAAGAGGCAAAAAAATAGATTTTTCCTAAAAGTTTAATTCACATTATATTGCGTTTACTGAAACTAAAAATCTACTCAAAGTAATTAACACATAATTGTTATTTACAACTGAATTAAAACCTGAAAAACAAAACAGAAACATTTACAGCCAAGTAACAGACTAAAAAAATTATATATAATACTTCGTTGAAACATTTAATGTAAATATTTTTCTGTCTCCTGGTATTGCATTGGTAATATCTATCCAAAATAACATAGCTAAGAATAAACTGGTATCTTAATGCTAAGCACGAATGCATTTTGTTATTAACATCTATTTGACTTACTTCCAAATGAAAAACAACTTTAACATTGGGAAGTTTCAGTGGAAATAATTTAGCAGGTCAAAAGTTGTTTTTTTTTTTAACTTTTGTATCAAAAGATTCTCATTAGAAAATTAAGACTGTAGGTTAGCAATTTACAGTAGCATCTAAAAATTACAGCAACATTGATCCCCTTAAATACTTGCATTGTCTTATTAATTTCTTAGTCATAAACACAAGGAAAGATTAGGCTCACAAAGATTATGGCCAAAGGTCCACTGTGCACTTCTCCATCCTCAAGTCCAAATGAAATTTCTTTTTAATTTGTTCATATATGCAAGACATTTGTAAGCTTTAAGAGGAGACTAAAATGAACTTATCTTCGAATTTAACAAAATCCTCGTGTTTCATAAAAGTGGTTCTTTCTGAAATAGTGCATTACTGAGAGATCTTTAACACAAAACTATTCATTAGAGAGAAACAAAAGTCACTCGCTTCTTGTTTGCTATGAATGCTGTTTGAAACATTCATGAACTCAGAACTAAATCCTATTTTTTTTCTTATGAAGTAAAAGATTTTTTGATGTCCTTGAATTAACACTCAGTGCTCCATTTCCTGCAGAAAAGCTTCTAACTAAGTTTCTTGGCACATCCTGTTCTTGCTTCTGGTCCTTCATTTTCATTCCTAGTGGAGAAAGAAAGGTCATTACAAATAGGAGACACTCATTCAATAAACATAAGCAGACTTTTGCCTGCCTGAATCTCCTTTACAGAGCATGTATAAGACTTTTTACACACATTCTTGTACCTATTGAAAGTCTGATTTTGATATGCATGAATGGAAAATAATACAAATTCATATGTACTTGACTCACTCACATCAGTTCTTACATTAAAACATGTATGTGCTGTAAAACTGGCGTATTGACTATGCCACTGGGAAAAGCTATGTGATTGGACTGTTTCATAAGAACAGAAGACTAAAACTTCAAGCCATCTTTGATCTCTAAACGGCTCAAAAACTTGCAGTAGGAAAGATTTTTAAGTGTATTTCTGAAGACAGAGCAGAAAAAGAGACAAATAGGTAAAGATAAAAGGAAATTGTAAGGATTTAGCACATGAAGAATTACTGCAAGTGCCAAACACCTTAATGACATGGACTAGGAAAGGCAGGTCTTTGGAAAGTTGTGAACAGAAGAAATTTGTGCACATCTACTAAAAATACTATTTGTAACTGATTTTGTTACAGTATGTAACATATGTATATGCCTTGGAGAGAAACCATGTAGCAGACTTTCACAGAATGCCACAATAACATTACTATCACCAAACTGTTACAAGCAAAATAACTCCTAAATATTGCTAAATATTGCTTTTCCTCAGCTATCGTGTTGACCCAAAATAGCCTCAAAGTTTAAGCAATACATTTCTGAAAAACAACTTGTGTAAGTCCAAATCAGTGCAGTGTTTGTTATAAAGCAAAGCAAGCAGGTGAAAACAGATATGGAATTTTTTTTTTTTTCTTGATAAACTGTACTTGATTAACATAAAATTGGTAATAAAGGTCACCAAATCTCTCAGCAAGTACACAAATAATGCTTGGTGGAAAAATTTAACTCTTGGGAAAAAGTAAACTTGGTAGCAATCTCAACTTTTGATTAGATACCATCAAGCTAACTGTTAGATCTGCAGATTTACTTTTTAAAATTAATAGATGTACCATTCAAACTGACAGCTTAGCGTATTGATCACAGCAGTTAAATTGACAAAATGTTGATTATCAACCTTAATTTTGGATGAAGACACTGTCGTACATTCAAGTTTTGACACTCACCTACTATTTTGGGTACTCGCAAAGCTCTGTGGCTTAACAAGACCTCTCGACGAATGCGCTTTGGAGAAATATGAAGGCTGCCCAGCCCAGTGTTTGATGTGGAACTGGAAAAACAGTCAGAAAAGAATTTGCTTTCAGTGAAATGATCAAACTACAATACAGTAGTTTAGGTCTTGCAATGCAGAAATGCATTAAACAATATTATCCAGTTTTGGTAGGTAGCTTATAATACAAAGCAAAGAATAAATTGATTTATTTATGATATGTATATTATCTACCCTTTTTCCTTTTCAAAGCTTGAAAAGAATGTTTCAACTGTGAAAACAGGAACTAGTGTTGCTACTTATGTTAAAACACAGACCAGTTGGTCACAGTTTTTCTGGAAACCACAACCAGTTTGATTTGCATGCAAACACTACAATAATCTTGTTGCATGTGAGAAATCCTGGAGATGACCAAACTGTGTTTATTGAACAAACTGCAGTTTTAATTGGTACAATTAATTTTCTACAGTCTCCAGCATAGTTGAGAAGGGATGGCTTCATAGCAGAAAATACTTTTTAACTAAGCTGCAAAAAAGTTGTTATAGCTTCAAATTCATTAAGACAAAACCTCCATATTTTATAGACTTTTATGTGATGGACTTCAGATCTACAAGTGAAAATTATGAACCTATCTGATCTCAGCCTTTTACACTTGCCTTGTTAACTTCCCTAGTTACATTCTGTAAGACAGCCTCATAAACAAGCTAATTCTATTTATGTCCCAGATTCCTGTGCTTTTCCTGTTCCTCTAATGATATGGTATTATTCCCAATTTATAGTCCCCTAATTTACACTAGTTTTCTTAAAAAAAATGTTTTGCTTAAATAAAAATACATAGCAAGCAATAAAGACCAAGACCTGCTTTGTCTCAGTTCTAAGCTCTATTCATGCATGTTAATTGGAAGAGAACTTCTGCCAGTAAGAATGTAATGTTATTCAGTAAAAGCAGCCTATGTATTATGACCGATATGTCTCTCATTCCTTGTCCTAGAAATACAACTGTTTCAAATTATATTTCTAATGTAGAGAATGTGGCTGAAATGTATATTTTTATTCTGTTGTTAGTAGATGAATGACTGAATTATATAATTCCACTTAGTGCCTATTCAGTTTCAGCTTATCTGCTGCTCCTACTAACAAGCCTCTTTCAGGATCATAAAACAGAAGTGACGAAATGGGAGTTCTTCCCAGAGCAGACCACAAGGCTGAAGTCATCATAACAGAGACTGGAAATGAATTATCAGAAAAACAAAGGCACCGGCCACGTAAGTATTGTTAAGTATTTTCTCCACTTTCTATTTTGGTAACTTCTAATGTGTTCCAGCAAAGGCATATAATTTTAAAACAAATTAGATTTTTAATTGACGACGAAATTATTCTTTTCAGAATTACATGTCATCTTTCTATTTTGAGTGTACAGCAGATTTGGAATACACAATTGTCCTGGTTTGAGCCAGGATGAAGCCAACCTTCTTTTCACTGTTGTTTTTTTTTTTTCCTCTTCAGTGAGTTCTCTTTTAAGTAGCAGCAAGTTTTCCAGCTAGTGGCCTGATAACACTGGAATGTTTATGCTACTGCTGAGACATCAAGGATGCTTTGCTCTGCTTGTTGAATCTGTGGTCTCAGATGCTAAAGGAGCAGAAGAGTTGTATCTACAGCCCTCCCATAGAGAGGAGTGGACTAGACAGACAGCAAAATTGACCCAAGTATTCCATTTCATATATCTACGTAAGCTTGGTATAAGGTCAGGCATCATGGAAGTCAAGCCCATTCCTGCTTATCCTTCCCTTCTCTTCCATTCACGGCCAGTGTCCAGGGAGGACTCCATCTGCCATCACCACTGATCCCTAGGCCTGTCTGTTCCTGACTCTCATAACACTCTCCCCTCAGCTCCTGTCTCTGGGACATTCTGGAACTGCTTACAGCTCAGGAGAGTGCTGTGGGAGTTGCTGGGAGTTAGGGGAGGCAATAGGTTTTGCACATTCCTGAACACACTTGTGTATAATTGTATGTATTTTCTTATAATTATTATTTAATTAAAGCTGTCTAGTTTAGTTTCAACCAAGAAAGTTTCTGTCCTTTATTCTCTCTCTCCTTCCCTACCTGGGTGGGAGTGGGAGGGGATCTAGAACATTGTTGTCTCTGGTTTAATTGTTGATCCTAAGTCAAACTGTAACAACAATATTAGCTTGTATTTCTTAAAACAACTTAAGTTCCTAAACCAAGTGTAATAAAGATTCTACTCAAATTGCCAGAGAAATATGTGAAACATGTTTGAATCAGAGTATCTCATATATAGGTCCAGTTGACTTGTATAAGTGGTTTTCAAATTTGAAATATAATATTGAAAATTAAGTGAGAACATAAGAAGTGGACACAAACTCATCTGTATAAGAGCAGTTGGTTTAATCTTACCTTAATACCTTTCTTTTTCTCTCTGCAGCAGAAGTCATTGACATGTATGAGGGCTTCTCAAATACTGAAGTAAGATTTTTGTTTTTTAAGGAAGAGAGATCAAGTCTGAAATAAAGAAATTACATTCTTGTAAAATCTATTCTGAGTGGAAATCAAGTGAACCGTAAATTAATATATTATGTTGAAAAACAATACTAGAAACTAGTTTAATAGTATTACTTGGGGCAGCTTTGCAGGACTTTACACACACATAGCAGCTTTAACAATGGCATCTCTCAAAGAGGTTAAGGCATCCATTTTACAGACTGAAAAAGTAAGGCTTAGAGAAAGTAACTTGCCTGAGAAATCACAAACAATTTCAAAAGTGCTTCATTTTCCTTTCGGTACTCGTCTAGGAAAACAGCATAAGCTTTCAACTTCATCTGTTGTCACTAACATACCATTGATTTCAAATTACGGCACAATTGATGCTGATTGAGGGTTTGATTTTCAAAACAGTGGGTTTAAAAATAAAACTGGCATAAATGGAAAAACTCAGAAGTGAAGACAGACAGGATTGTTTGGGTAATACACCTTGCCCATATAAATGGCAAATACCTTTGCAGAACGCTATTGCTGCATGGCTGTGAGTCCTTCACGGATGAGTCAGTAGACATGTCAGTTGTTTCACCTGTCACTTCACTGAGAACTACTGTAGAGTTCATGTCAGTTTCATTGCACTCTGGGATTATGTCACATGTAGAGTCCGTAATTTTCGCCCTTTTCACTGGTATGTCTATATTACATGCATCGGCTTCCTGAAGGCCTGTGAGGTGTAAAGCTTTCTTTACCACAGTCTGTGTGCAGCAGCTTTGTACTGACTTTCCATACAATTCTGGTGTATACACAATAGGGTGGACTTCCTTGGTGAGGGAATCGTCCAGATGCTGGAGGCTGGAGGGCTTGGATACAGCAGGACTTTGAGCTGTGACCGGCGAGTCCATCAGCTTCCGCCTGGCTGTCTTCTGTGCTGGTACTGCAAATTCTACCAGTTGCTGCTTGTTTTTATGCACTTCTTGTGATGATGTTCCAAAAGTTGTACCTGTGCAACATAGGCAGCTATGGTTAGTACCTTTACCTCTATTGAATACTTAAATCTTGTCTCTTCCCTCCTGAGATACATTTACTAGCAGAAATTACTACATTTATTTCATTGACATATTAATTTGATCATATAACAAAGAATTTCTATTGCAGCATTGTTCGTATGGCAGCATTTGTTCTGTGGCTCTCAAAGGATTATAAATATGGATAGGTTGATAAAGTTAATCCAGAGATATACAAGTAACCATAAGTAAGATATGACATGAGGACTGGGAATGGAAGAGTGAGCATATTGAAAATTATCGCATTATCATGACACAACTCTTAATTTAATTTAAAATGATAACATCACAGTAATCTACAGCTGCCTCCTGATCATGGCCATATTTTCCCTAAGCAAGTACCAGGCAGAAAAATCAAAGAGACTGTTGCAAAAGCAATGATATAGTCTCACTAAGAGGGACAAAACTCTTTGACATTACAAATGAGAAAGTGTTTTGAAAAAGGGGAAAGAAAGAAGTTACTTGGATCCTGTCATCTCAATAGACAAACTCTGAAAAAAAGGTCTTTACTAAAAACTCCAGCCTCAAAAATAACAAAGAAAACAATTCAGCAGTAATCAGTCAGTCCCATTCATCTTGATTTATACTATTTTTCTTCAAGTGTCATAATATTTTTATTTTCAGGCAGGTAGTAATGGAAGCAATTGACATAGTATGAAAGACTAAGTTTTTAGTAAAGAAGAATAACTTTAAGACAGATCACAATTCAAATGGCAAGGTTAGTGGTGACTTAAGTAGTTAAGAACAAAACATTAAGGTGTTTGGGGGTTTTTGCTTGTTTTTAAACAAATCAAGAGTAGGAGAGGGCTGTTAAAAGTGCAAGTGCTTTAACTTTCAGTGCAAATTTAAGAAATGAAGACTGCAGTCTTTAAATTGACAATGGATTGGCCCCAGTTCAGCTGGTAGCCACATCATCCATATTTCTGCACTGCCTGTTCTATTCCTATGAGCAACCAAATTGCACAAAGTGTTCTTGCTTTTTAAGTTGCTCCAACATACTCAGGAATTAACTATGGTATTCATGTAACAGGGCTAATAAATACTTATTTCTTCCCAAATTCCATTCCATTTTTGCCTCAGAGTAAGAAAGTTAGTTTGAACTCCTGAATCTGAATGCTGCTTTAGTTCTGTCTCATGTGTTAATACTTACAGCATTTTAGCTGTTCCATAAACATTCTTTGAAGAGGAGGAAAACTGATTAAAAACACATATTGCATTATTCTACCCCAGTTTGATTTCTTACAAAGAGCAAAGCTTAATATGTTGTAGTCTTTTCTGACTGTTTACGACTTCTCAGCCTCCGTTGAATTTTGACCTCGTTGCTAAATTGCAAGCCAATTTCCCATTGGCAAAAAGCTTTAAGAATGTTAGTTCCCCAAGTACCCTCAGCTGTTTTGGGGAACAGGCAGAAATAAGAGCCTCATTGAAGAGAAGCCTTCAAAAAGACAAAAGAATGATGCTGGTGTCAGCTTTTTTGTACACACTTTGGAACCAGACGTACCATATGATGAATTCCTCATGACCAGCTACATGAAATGATGCCCAATTAGAAGATACAAATTAGAGTTGTGAGGAGACAAGAAAGGATTTAAAGACTACCATAAGATCTAGACCTGTTCTGTGTGCATGCACTTGTGGATAAGTATCAGGTAAATTAGAATTTTTACATATATATTAGCACCTATGTTGCCAGCACTTAATCCAGTAATGAAACCATTGAAAAAAGAGAGTAAACATTTATTCCTCACTCAAGGGCTCAGTTTCAGAAAGAACAATGTTTAAACTACCGTGGTTCAACAAATATGCAACATCTTATCCAACAATGCATAAACAATAAAGCAGGTAAATTTAAGCCAAACTGCTTACAGGAAAAGATGTCTGGACAATTACATGAACAATTACAAGTCTATTATGCTGTTTTCAGTTTTGAAGAAAAACAAATACGGAACTCAGGCCTGAGAGGACTGCTTAACATGTGATGACTGAACTGTTTGTGTGCACATGCCTGTGTACAGCTCACTTCACCGTACACATGTAAAGGACTTTTTTCTTTTTTTTAAAATGCAAAATAAATTATTTTCTCATAAATAATCTTAGTCTAATTCATAGGCAGCATTCACTAGGTGAAGTGCAGCAAGTTGTTGAGATACTGTTGTTTAATTGTAATGTAAACATTAAGCTAACTCAGAATATTATCCATGAGCAGTGAAATGAAATGAGTAGTAAAACAGGGTCTATGTCTTCCCCAAATACCAGAAATAACACAGGTCTACTTTGATGAAGATATTTTTCTCCAGGGGTTTATAGGATTTTGTTAGTAACAAGAAACTTATTTACAAACCATTTTCAATATATACTCTGTGAGACTATCAATGATGCTGTGCTTCATTAATATGTTTGCTCTTTAATTTTGGTTTTATGAGTACAGCATTATTCTTCTATGTAAAAGACTAACACTTCTTTCTTTCTTGCAAAAAGAAAGGCATCACAATGAAAAACTGAGGCCAAAACCTTCTTGTAAAGATTTTCTGACAGCTTATATTCTTAAATACAACAATAAGCTTTATCTAAGAATTCCAGTCTAGTGTTTGAAATAACTTCAGGATATATTATTCAATATTAATGTATTCATTTTTCCTCCTGCTTCTATGCATCTGAAAGTGTGTGTTTAGAGAAAAATAATGGTTAGAATTCTAATTGTCTGTTGATACATTAGGACAGGGAGCTTTCAGTTTCAGAAAGTTTGCTTACCGTAAGACACTGAGGTTTTGCTAATGCCCTAAAGTTACTAGGAAGGAAGTCTGATGGAGAAACATTTTGGTGAGAGTGCCAAGTTTTAGAAGCTTGTCCAGCACTAAATACTGGAAGCATTTTAAAATTAACTGTAAATGCAAGCATTTAAACCATGAACTAGAAAGGTAAAGAACACAAAAGTATCACCAACATTAATAATTTGTTGAATTTCATCTTAATTAAAAGTATTTCACACTGTAATATAAATACATTAATAAAAATACAATTGCAGCAATTCTATATAGGGCAAATATGAGCTGTTAGTAAAAACCTAGACCTATTTTTAAAATCTATTTATTTCCGGAATGAAACTTTTTGTAAAAAGAAGTTAAGACAAAACTAGCTTCTCTTGCCAGTTAAGTATTGGAAAGCATATAAAATATTCAAGAAGTGCTCCTTCTCAAAGCTTTTTGTGAAAGCATTAAGTTGCTCCTAACACAGTAAACAAGAAAGTAAACAAACACATCATCAGCAACATCATCTTTAACTTGGTTTCACTAAATAGCATAAACCAAATATGATGTAAGAAGTAAAAAAAGACAACCTCCAGTATATAGCTCCAAACAGCTATGATCTAAAATAAACATAAATACCGCAAGAAGAACATTTAAACCCACAAAACACAGGAATGTCAGTGTTTTTTATTTCTGTCTTAATTAGGAAGCAAGATACTGAAAGCCAGTTACTAATTTTTTGCAGGTGCTTTTAATAGTTGCCATTGAGAAGCTTAAATAAAAAGGGCTTAGACAACAACAGCTGCTACAAAAATCACTACTCCTCAAATGGTCATGGTATCAGAAGTTTTTCTCCTTAGAAAAGTAATGTATCATGATTTCATTTTTTGGTGAGAACCTATCTTCAAATACTTCAAAGTCTACTCTACTATAAAACAGATTGATATTTAGATGTATACTTTTAGATGTATAGATATAAAAATGTTTACTGAAAGAGAAAATTTAGTACCACAAACTGACACAAAAATAATATGCCTCAAATTGAAACACCAAATCTTGTATTAATTTAGAATTTAGGGAAGACAATTTTAGCATACATCTGTCTTAATGAGCACTGAATATTTCAGGAAACAATTTTAGAAAATTTGGTCATCTCTCACTACATGGCTTATATTGCAGTGGGACAGGTAAACCTTGGGAGAACTAGTTCCCCTAAAATCCTATTCAAGAAGGGAAAAAGAAAAAGCTCCAGAACAAACAACTTACATATTTTAAGTGGCAAATTTGAACTTCCAGCACTAAAGCAACAAAGAAGAGACATTTCATAGCAGCTCATGCTTACCAAAACCGACATATTTATATGGCAATTTTAGGTAATGCTTTCTCCCAGGCTACCCTATTTTTACAAATTTGTTGAGTGCTTCTAGGTGGGATGTATGCATATATGTTTTAGCACATGCTTTACCTTATTTACCTAAATATTCCTATGAGTAAACACAGAAAATTGAGACAACAGTGCATTCCTAGCTGAGGTCATTATAATACATCCATAAAATGAGGATGAGGTTAATAAAAAATTACTTTATTTCCTATATTAACAAACAGTAGACACCCTGTTCGCACTCCATACTATTTCTAACACTTACCTGCCACAAAACAATGACACTGCTGAACTCACTGCAGTATGCTGTGGCCAAGCCCTTAAATATGAACTACAAGTTCATATGGGCTACAAGTTACTTAGAAGGTATCTACTGGGAATTATTACATGTGATTGGTTCAATGGGATTTCCAATTGCATTGAAACTGGAAACTGCAAGTCAGCTGACTCTAGATTTGTCTTGTTATCACTAAGGAGTGTATTACTGGCAACTACTAAATACAAGGTACTGAAGACAACATAGTGGTGGACCAAGTGGGGCTTACTCCTATTTTCTTAAGGAACAAGTCTAAATAGTTCCTGAATAGATGCTTAATGCTAATCGTTACATGTTGACACTGTTTTTCTACTGAAAGACAAACAAAACATTCCAACTCTAAAGAAAACCTTCAAATTTGTTCCATAATAATGCAGGGAAATGATGTTTATGATTTGTATTTGATTAACATTTTATGTTGTTCAGTCTTTTGCATTGCATTATCATCATGATTCAGTGATATTTAGTTTACTACTTATTTCTTATACAAAA